TAACGAAACCTGAGATATATTTACTTCTTCTCACGGGATATGATCTTCTATTGAGCACCTATGGAAACAAGCAGAATGGTAGTGTGACAAGGAGGGGATCGATCTTAGAGGGGGATGGCCATTTTTTTCTTCTAGGTTATGATCTTTTTCGGGTCCAATTCTATGCACAAAAAGCCTCTTTGTCCTGGCCCACCGCCTTGCTTCGTGAACGGCCAACAACCGCCTACAAGTACAGGATTCCAGGTGGAACCAGCTTCAGGAGGTCGTTCCACTTCCCGAGATAACCCACCTTCAGTGCGGGCACGCCTTCTCCCCTGTCACTGATCGCCACCATGGAACCGGCTTCTGGATGCACGTCACTAGCGTAGATCGTCTGGCGGATCTTGAGACGAATGTTGAAGTTCCGCAGAATCTCATGAAGCTCCGACACGTGCGGATTATAGATTTGCAGAACTTCACGAACTGCCAAGATCGGAGTCCACCACTCCCCGGGAGGGACGGACAGCATCGCGTAGCTGCAGTTCTGTTTCCACCTCTCCTCTGTAGCAACGACTTCAGTCGCCAAAGGCTTGCGGAAGAGAAAAGGGAATGTGTTCTTCAAGGCCGTGTGCACCCATGTCCCAAACAGCTGCATCCACTGTTCGAGGGCAAGATCATCCAAGTCTTCTGCTTTGCTGAGCGCTCGCATAAGCATCACACGGCTCCGGCACTCGGGTGAGACATCAGTCCAGCTCTTGCCACTCAGGCATTCCGGCCTCGAGGGCTGGATCTGCGGCTGCGGACCCTGGCCTGCAGCCAAGCGCTCCTCCTCGCCCCATCCATTTCCCTGACAGGGTACACCGAAACACACCAGGCAGGGAAACCCAAAACCAACATAATGGCAAAAAAACGCCCCGCCTGTTAGACCTGATAAGATCACGCGTCACGCACATCGCAAGAAAAGAAATAAGGGAACCATCAGATGCGGACAAAGCATAAACAAATGAGTACAGTTCTGCGTCTCAGGACCAGAAGAAGCACCGAAGCACCCCCCCCCCCCCCCCCCCGCATCCCTGTGACTACTCACACTTTTGAGACGCAACAGCACGACACGAGTCCAAGGGCAACAAGACCTCAGACCAGACCCGCCAGCAGTCGGTAAACCGCGCGTCTAAGCGCATGCAAACAACACGCTCTCACATCTGCCTGCATGTCCCGCTCCTGTGACAATTCCGGACTATAAAAGAATTGCAGGGGTTGGTCAGGCGGGGGGGGGTAGAGGTCGAGGGAAGGGGACCGGGGTCGGGCGCCAGAGGGCACAAAGGGGCGGGGATGCATCAGCTGAATTTGCCAATTGCTAATTTTGCATCCGCCTGGGAGTCCATGTCCATTTTCACCTTGAGGAAGAAGACGGGTCCCCAGCCACTGGGACTGTCAGGCAAATAGGCGAAAGGCGTAGTTGCCGTTACATTCACGTCCATGTTGAGGTCTTCTTTTATTGCCATCTTCAAGAGGTTCTCACGCGACTTTTCAAAGTCATCGGACAATCCCAAGATCTTAAGCCCATCAAAAGCCCCGTTCACAAAGTCTGCGAGGCCTGTGGCAGAAGGGAGGATGGGGGTGGGGGTGGGATTGGGAGAGGGGAGGAAAGAAGGGAAAGCTCTAGCGGGGCTTATATCACTTACAGCATCTTGGAACCTATGACGGCTATGACGGATTAAAAACAGGATGTACACAAAGATGTAGGCCTCGATGCGTCGCTTCGATCGCAAAGTCCCTGGTCACCACCCGGAAGGCGAGGCCCGGATCCCTGGGATCGTCCTTCCCGTAGAACTCCACGTTCATCAGAAACTCAACAACGAAGCCGTGCTCCTCCGACAGCTCTTCTGTGCAGCTCTGTGCAGCTCTGTGCAGCTCTGTGCAGCTCTGGGCTCTTCCCTGAAACCCCGCAAGCCCCCCGAGTAGCAGAGACCAGAGTGAAGTCCTCCAGGCTCAACAAGGAGGTGCTTTTCCCGATTGAGTTCTTGCAGGCTCGTAGGAGCAGCAGACACCCATTAAAGGTTGCAAGACTAAGACCTGAGCCCCCAAAACCTTCAGATCCTCAGCCCCAGCAGCCCGGCCCCCCCCCCCCTCAAAGGAAAGGTAAGCCTGTGGTCCTCGCTCCCAAGCATGGCCATCAGCTCCGACGGCAGAGCTTCGTTTGCAAAGTTCACCACAAAGCGGAAAACCAGGGCGGCGGCAAGTTGCTGGAAAGCCTTTAGGGTTTAGGATTTTAGGTGGTGATGAGGTTTTGAGAATTTAGGGCTTTAGGGTTTTGGTAATGGCTTCGGGGTTCCTGGATTTTGGGGTCGCGTGCATTTTATGGCGGCCCAGGTCCGTTTGCAGTTCAAAGACCGGTTCCACTGTCTTCTTGGGCTGTGGGTGGAGGTTGTCAGGGGCGTTTTGTAGCTTGAGTGTGAGAACCGAAGGGCTTCGCGTCTATTCGGATGGTTGATGTCCAAGCGTGTTCAGCTCCACGTCTTCTGCGGGGGCAGGGGTATTCCGTTCCTCATCTCCGGGTCTCGGCTTGGGGCTAGAATACTAGAAAGGATTCTGGCTCCCCAGGCTAAACTCGAGGGACAAACTGCGAGGACAGCCTGGCAGCGCTTTTCTGCCCACTGGTTCAACAGCGCACGCTGTGTCCTCAAGCTGTAGCTTGCACACTGCTTCCTGCTGATGCGCAGCTGCGGTTTCCAGTATCTAGTTGCTGGGTGGCCTAGCAACTTCGAGAATGGCACCATCTTGTTTGAACCCTGTTGAGGAGTCCCCAACACTTCCCACTCTCCGACCGGACCAGCAACCCCACCCTCCCGACACTGTACCACATCAATACTAGGCCAGGAGTTTAAGGGGCGATCCCAAGTCCGCAATTACGAGGCCGCTGCTGACTCAAAGCCTGAAGCGGTTTTGCTACATATTTCCAGGAATAGGCCTGCTTGTTGTGTTCGTGGTGAGAGTTGCATGCAAGTGCAAGTTACAACCATGATACGTAGCTCCATGACTAAGCAGGATGGTTGGACGTTCTTGCGTCGTGCTCCGCCAAGTTCCTACAGTACCACTGCGAAGCGTGCAGGAGAAACACAAGCATGCCCCAAAATACCAGCTGCCCTTGCCTTGATGTTGACGGCACCCGCCCGACTGAGCAGGTTCGTGATTCGGGCCACGGTCCCACTCCAGTATCCGTTCCCTCGGACCTGGGGCAGTCGACAGTGGGCATCAGTGGGCATCAGTGGGGCTACTTCTGGTACGGCTACGGCAATGCCTATGCCGATCCCAAGACCTGCAGCTTCTCGAATGCAAGGTTCAGATCTCTATCCTCTTTGGGGAACCTCAAACTGCTGCTGCCGTTCTCCTTGACGACTGCTGCGGACAAAGCCAGCATGGGCAGACTCGAGTCTTTTGACGTTGCCTTGAACGACACGTTGCTGAAGGACGCCGTTGGAGTGCCAGGAACAGACATCTTCACATCCTCCAAATCACCGCTGAGCACCGTGTCGGGCAAAACTCGGACGTCGATCTCCTGCGCACCCACTGACTTCTTGAGGCGCAGTTTGATCTTGGCATTCATCTCGTCAATGCCTCCAATCGCGACCAGAGCCTTGCCACGAAGCATCGACCACCTTGAGTCTCAACAGACGGGTTTTCCGGGTGCCCAACTCAGCTGCTTTTCTCATGTCTAGAACACAGTCTAACACATGCAGCCACTGAGGCAGCAACACCTTGGACAAGTCGAGGTTGATCTTTAGCACCGCTGGCTCAGGGGCAAATTCCTTGACCTCACGGCATCCGGCTGAGTCGTGCCAGTGGATTGCTGGGCCATCGCCGACATTGAGCTGATCAATTTCGTCGTTGCTGACCCGCACGGCCCACGTAAGGCCGGAAAAGCAACACAACCGTATAACATGGAACATGGCTTTGGCAGACAAGTCCTGGGCAGGTCTTGGGCCGTCCAGGACTTAGACGCGGAACAAACAGCAAAGAAAGAAAAGAACGCCATGCATCCAGAGAATCAAGGCAATCATCCCGATCAGGCTTCGTACCCGTGCAATGCGTGGATCTTGGCCATACGAAAAGCACCAAAAACCTAGAAGTCAAAGCGTGGAAAACTCAGAAGGCTCAGATGACTGGGGGCCGGTTTCTCCTGAATCTCTGATTTGAGGGTTCCCGTTTTGGATCTTGATCGCGAAGCCTGAAGGCGGGCTTCAGCGAAACTTTTCATCCCACATGCAAATATCCAAGTCTCAGGTTAGGGGGTTTGGGATGGTTTGGGGTTCAGGGTTTGTAAAAGCACTCCGAGCATCAAGGCAGGCTCCTTCGGGAATCGGGTCAGCTTTGCTTGAGATTGCTTGAGCCTGCTGTTGTTGCTGTTGTTGTTGTTGCTGCGCAAAAGGCTTCGGGTTGTCGGGGGACTAGGTGACTGTGGGTGTTTTTGCCAAACTTCGACCTTCCGGATTTCTTCTTCAGCGCGTAGAGATTTTCGGTGGAGCTTGGAAGCTGCAAGTTGCAGACGTTGAATGAGGACGTCGATCGCATCGTTCTTCACGAAGGGATCGTTTCTGCTGGCCAGGGAAGTACTCGAAGTTGGGCGTCGTTGCCACTTGCCGCTCCTCTGCTGCGGACAGCCCGCCAGGCTAGCCCAGGGTTTTTTTTCTTGTGCGAAGCTGCACCTGACATGTGTGTGTGTGTGCTCCTTGCATTCCCTTGGACGGGTGGGCGTGCTTGTTTCACAGAGTACATGCATGGAGTGGCTTCACCTCGATTCACCACGCTACAGTCTTGAGTCAAGAAGGTAGAGCCCTGCAAGGTGAGGATCGCCCGAAGCCAAGAAATCGACTTTGCGCTTCATGTTGCAAGACAGTCCTCTTAGTCCTCTTTCACTCTTTTCGAACTTTCGCTCACCAAGAGGCCACACACTGTGAATGCATGTGAGTGCACGCTTGAGCTTCGTAGGTTTCAAGCCCTTTGGGCTTGAACGAGGGAAAACATGGGGCCAGCAGCGCTTCCCAAATCTCCAACAGCAGCACACGTGTCGAAGGTGCATGATAGTGTATGGACTTGGCTGCATGCAAGCTGTGAAACTTGACCCTCCATCTAAGTCAGAACATTCAGAACCAGGTTCGTGGAAAGATGCTCCCGCTCACACGAGTTCCACGAGTGCGCCGAACGGACTGGCGGTGAACATGTGCAAAAAGGTTGCTGCGAATGCTGTCAATCGAGTTTCCGTCAAAACTGTGCCACCCAGAAATATGATGCGCATAGTCAGTCGTCTATGTAAACTGCACATACGGCAGCACCGACTACACTTGTTGAGTCGTTGAGTGGACGACGGTCTCCAGTGCCTCCAGCTTTGACCTGAGAAAAGAAATTGGGGTCCAGTAAGCGACTTTAATCACACTTTAGTCCCACAGAGACAGAGTCACATGCAACGCACGGGCACAGCCAACGCCAAAAAGTCTGCAAAACTTTTTCCGGCGCATGTGAATTTAACTTGCAAGCACCCAGCTTGCAGGGCTCCTGTTAGTTCATACATGTACATGTGTGAAATTTGTGCTCACAAAAGGACGCATCCTTTGTGCCGTCCGCATGTGAAGGCCCACCCATCAGTTGAAGGATCGAGATGCAGCAAGTACTTCAGTTACCGGCTGCAATGAGTGTGCCCTCTTTCCTGGCATGAGCATCTGCTGCCTTCTGGGCTTCCTCATCTACCAGCTCATCTTTCTTGACGGGGTAGCGAACAGCTTCCCAACCGCGGAATCCTCCTTCCAATACAGCCACGCGCTGTGTCTGAGGCGCCATGCCCCGGTACCAGTTCGCACAGGTCGGTGCTCTATGGCACGAGTACTGACATGTAAACACCACCAAAGAATCATCCGCAAACTTCTGCACTAGATCAGGAACCTTGGGATAGAAAGGCTCCTCCGTTGTGCATGGGACGTGGATTGAGTCCTCAATGTAGCCAGATTGGCGATCATTGCCGCGAACATCTACTAGCACACACTGCTTGTTGTGTAGAAGGTAACGAACCTCGTCCGGATCCAGCCTCTCTACTCCAGCTTCACATGCCACCGTCTGAGGCAACTTCCATCTCTGCTCTATTGCATCCTTTCCCTCTCTGCGCCGTCGAGGCTCTGGCGGCTCGAGCGTTTCCACTGAAGCATCTGGCACCTGTGACAACTGTGGTTCCGGCTTTGTCGCTCGCTCCGCCTGCGCTGCCTGCGCTGCCTGCGCTGCCTGCGCTGCCTGCGCTGCCTGCGCTGCCTGCGCTGCCTGCGCTGCCTGCGCTGCCTGCGCTGCCTGCGCTGCCTGCGCTGCCTGCACTGCGGTTGCTTGGCTCTCTGGCCTGGCAGCCGCAGCCGTCGCAGGGGCCGCCGCAGGGTCTGTCGCAGCGGCCGGGACAGGGGTGGCCACAGGGGCTACAGCGGCCGCAACAGCCGCAACAGGGGCCGCGACCGGCACGATCCCACGTGAGCTCACAGCAGTCGGAATGTGGCCCGAAATGCTTCCGTCCACTTCGCTCCTTCTCTGCATGGTCTGGTTCAGGCCATACACTGGCACCATCCCCTGCACAGGCGCTGTGACAACAGGCGGAGGTGCAATGCACTGCATGGCCGGTGGTGTGTATGAACGATTGAAGCTGGGCGGTGGAGTGTATGAAAGAATGGTCTGTGGTGGTGGGATGTACGACCGGACTTGGGGTACATGCCCAACTCCTGGACCCATGAGCCTTGACATTGTGAAGCTCGGCTGCTGCGGCGCCAAGGCAATAGAATGATTGCTTGTTGGCGGCAGGGTTTGTGCCATAACTGGCACGGGGGCTGCGCCTTCCTTCTCCTGAGTTGGGTCTTTTTGCGGTGCAACCAGAGCCACAGGAGGTTGAGGCCAAGTGCCCAAGCCCTGCATCATCTGTCCCATGGGACGCAATTGGCCCACCGGCTGAGAAGAGCGCATGTGCCACTGCGGCTGCCACATCATCTGTGACGGATGCTGCATGACCTGCGGCTGCTGCCATATCACTGGCGGCTGCGGCTGCGGCTGCGGCTGCCACATCATCTGTGGCTGTGGCTGTGGTTGCGATTGCAGTGGAAACTCCCGCAGGTAACGAGGCAGTGTTGCGGCGTGCTCTTCGCCCATCTGGGGCATAACAGGAATTGCCTGAGGCATGAGCGGCATCAGCATGCCACTTGGCGCGGCTTGGACAGATTGGACCGTTTGGACCGTTTGGGGCGCCTGAGGCCGTGGTTGGGGCATGGGCGGCATGGGTTGCATAGGAGCCTGGAATAGGCCCGGATAACCCTGCAAACCCTGCATCGGGAAATCTACGGGCCCAAGAAGGTGGCCCGCTTGGTACATGGCTCTGGCGAGCCTGCGCAGCTAAGTTGAGGCCCTCGCTGTCTTGAGCTGAAACACAAGCGAATCGTAAAAGAACGCGGCGGAGACATGCGGATGCGGATTCGGAAGTTGAACAACATTGCACTGCTATAACGCGAATGCACAGCCTAGGTTCACAGCTCCCTGAAATGCGTCACGCTGGGTCACCAGACAATGCAAAGACGCCGCAGTTGTCATGGCTTGCACATGTACCAGCCCGCAGTTGCAGTCCACAGTGTGTAAATATGTAAACGCAGCTGTAACTTCGTGCCATGGTGAACTCTTTGCCCGTTTGCGCTTCACAACAAAGAACTGTCAAATAGAGCTGCCCGATGAGGCAGCTATCCTTCGCAACATGCCAAACCGCGCAAAAGGCAAAACATTGCACGGATCGTTGATCATAGCGAGCAGGGAGCTGCTACATGCTAGGCTAGGTGGGCAAGAGGTGCTACAATGTGTCTGGGGGGATGTGCATGTTTCTGGCTCGCATTTAGAATTCATGGTTGGCGTGAAGTTTCGGTCCCTAGACTCAAAATGGCAAGCCCTCAACCTCTGGGTGAGCACAAACATCCAACAATGTCCAAGAGAGATGGCAAGTCAATCAATGAGGCGCAAGTCCCAAGACCGCATTTCCCGGCTTTTTCTGGCCGGATCAAGACCAGTCCTGCTGCACGATCTGCACCTCTGCAACGACAGTCATCCACTGACTGACCATTGGCACTCCTGTCTGAGTTTCTTGCATTGCGAGAGTGGCAGAGCACGCCAATGACACCATAAAGGACCTTCGTGCAGATGCTGCGCAGGAGCAACTGTACAGGAGAAGGCCCACGCGATGCGTGTCTGGGGGTCCTGCTGTGGCGCTGCCGAGTCTCACCTCAATGAACCAAATTGGGGCATCTGGGTTATCTGGGTTATCTGGGTCTCTGGACAGGAAGAAAACCGTCGTCAAACTCCAAGGACAGCCTCCGACGCCATAAGCCGCCCATGCCGGACTTACCCGGCTGTACCCCGAGACTTCAAAGAAACAAAGAAACGGTTCACAACGTGTCAGGAGCACAAGGGCTTGGAGGACGGGATGCTGCCTCGGCAACGCAGGCTACGCATGCGAGAGAACTCGCATGCGCAAGATGTTGTTGAGTCCCTCGTGAGAGGCACCCGCCTAACACGACACGACGCAGCTGGTCCAAGCAGAAGCCTTGCCTCCAGCAACCAGTGGCCAGGACTCTTTCCATCTCTCAGCGGTTCTCTTGAAGCACTGAGATTGCTGCATGCCCAGAAATAAAGCTGGCACCTGGCTAGGCCACAGATACTGATACAGAGCTGCCAGCCCATGCAGCTGTGTGCGTTTGTGAGTGAAGAGGTGAAGAGCAGAGGTGTTCGCGAGGGAAGACCGGCTCTGCAGCCGTCCTGGAGGTTACATGGAATTTCCCTTTGCTTGACACATGACACACATTGTTCTCTTGGAATGTCAATGATGAACTCTATAGCAACCATGGTCAAACATTCAGAGCAAACGTGCACGCCCGAAAAGAAAACAGCTGCGTGTCGGCAAGCGCAGGAAGATGTACAAACAAGCGTTGAAAGCCTGAAAACCCTGTGCCTCTTCAGAAGGGGAAAGCAGGAGAGGATACAATGGAAGGGACATGACATGAGAGCACAAAGGTTTTCCACAACAGTATAGACAATTCGCCTCGGCTTCCTGCCGAGAAGCGTCTGGAACAAGCAGACCTGGATCCGGTCTCCTTCACCCTAACCCAACCCTTCCTTTCATGCAGAATTTTGTGACGCCACCCCCCCGCCCTGTGGGACCCCCCCCGATCTTTTGGAGCAGCGGCAAACCGATGCCATGGAGGGTCCGGGCCGGCCCAACTGCCGAGGCGGGCGCGCGCAAGCGTTTACAAGTAAGTTGGAGCAGGAGAACGGAATGAAGCGCGAGGGCTAAGGATGGGAGATAACGTAGTGTGATCATGCGGACCAGTACGCAAAATTTCGCTGGAGCTCGACAGCATTAAGTGCTCTTTGGCACGGAGTCACGGAACCTTTTCCGATCACTAAGCTGGGTTCTCTAGGCCACACCCTTTACCCTTGCACAGGCCAGCTGCCTAAGCAAACAAACAAGCCATTGGAGTGGCTGTTTCTGGCGCTGCTGGTGGCTACCTTTTACACTACCTTCGCTGCGTTTTTGGTTGCAAGGTAACACAGATCTATGGGGCTATCTTCGTGCCTTTGGATTTGCCGGATAGTCAAGTAGAAACACTATACAATATACATAGTATATAAGACTATTTGGCGGCCAAGCCTTCTCTTCCCTCGCGTAGGGACAATGGTGGGCAACAGCCAACGTGGCACAGCAAGGCGACAGCAGACACATAGATACACAGACACACACACACACACAACCTCACGCAGTTCAATCAATGCAGTCGCGGGCCGAAGATTCAGGGTCCAGCACGTAGAGGGACCTCAGAGAAAACAGAAATCTTTCAATCAGCTTTGCAGCTCTCTCTCTCTCTCTCTGCACAGATAAAGAGAAAGAGAGAGAGAGAGAGAAACAACAAAGCAACAAACAAAAACAAAAACACGAAAAAAAAGAGCGGAGGCACACAGCGGCTGGGATCAAAGCGGGCTGGAGCTCCGGTCGAGACCTCCGAGAGAAGAAATCCACAAAGACAGGTCGTGGAGCAGAGCAGCAGAGCAGCAGAGCGTCCTAGTCCTACTGTACTCGTTTAGCAGTGCTGCGCGCAAAGGCGCAAAGAGCAAGGCACTCCCTGAGCATGGTGCAGAGCTTCTTCAAGCAGAAGCACCCGGCGGACGAAATGGCAACATGCGCCTTGGCCATCTGAGCCATCGGATTCCACGCTGCAAGATGAACAGCTTTCGACACAAACATCATTGACGACATCTATCATGAACGGCATCAAGCCTTGAAGCCTGGTGTGGCATGGGGTGTTGGGGTGTTTCAGCCAGCTGGCTGGGAGGCCATCCTGCTCCATGAGCTCTCGCACCTTGCATATTGCCACATGCCGATGGGATCTTTTCGAGAAGATGTCCCTCACACCTTTGACCAGCTGATCTTTTCTTTTGGCCTCCTCGACGCTGGGCTGCCGGAAGATCGAGGGCACGTCCGTCTCAAGGCCTTGCAAGGCGACTGCGGCGGCTGCTCTCTGTGCTCACCCTGCACTGCTCTCTCGACTCTCGCTGCAGGGCACGTAGTGCACTGCACTTAAGGCACTTTCTCTTCCCATGCCGGGCACGTCAGACTGAATGGGACTGGGGTTTGGAGAAAGGCCTTCCTCGGTACCAATGTTGCCATCTCTGGCTGCCCGGGCCTGGAGGCCGAGAAGGCAGAGACAGACAGACGGAGAAAGAGAGAAGAAGGAAAGAAAGAAGGAAAGGAAGAAGGAAGGAAGGAAAGAAAGAAGGAAAGAAAGAAGGAAAGGAAGAAGGAAGGAAAGAAAGAAAGAATGAAAGAAAGAAAGGAAGAAAGGAATAAAGAAAAGAATAACGAAAGGAAGACAGAAAGACAGAAAGACAGAAAGACAGAAAGACAGAAAGACAGAAAGACAGAAAGACAGAAAGACAGAAAGACAGAAAGACAGAAAGACAGAAAGACAGAAAGACAGAAAGACAGAAAGACAGAAAGACAGAAAGACAGAAAGACAGAAGGACAGAAAGACAGAAAGACAGAAAGACAGAAAGACAGAAAGACAGAAAGACAGAAAGACAGAAAGACAGAAAGACAGAAAGACAGACAGACAGAAAGACAGAAAGACAGAAAGACAGAAAGACAGAAAGACAGAAAGACAGAAAGACAGAAAGACAGAAAGACAGAAAGACAGAAAGACAGAAAGACAGGACAGAAAGAGGGAAAGAGAGAGAGAGAGAGAGACACAGATAGACAGAGAGAGAGAGAGAGAGTGAGAGAGAAAGAGGAGGGAGAGAGAAGCGTCGCGTCTGTTGGCCCTTGTAGAGTAGGAACTTGGCATCCATGGCCTGAACAACTTCCTCTTCCTCGCACTCTGCTTCAGCTTCGGGAACAAAGATACGATCCATGGTCTTGGCAAAAGCCTCCAGAGATTCTGACCACACGGAAGTTACACAAGAAAAGTTCAAAAGCTTGCCACAAGTTTCTGAGACGTGGTGATACCGAACGTGCCTGCCACCCACAAGCGATGCCTGTGCCGGCGCCTTTGAGGCGTGCATGCCAGGCATCTGCCATGGGCCTGGTATGAATGTCTGCCAAGATCTCCTTTGCCATTCTTTCCCGTCGCCAGGCCTCAACGCTGCCTCGTCGCCTGTCCGAGGGCCTTGATCCCAGGTCGTCCCTGCCACCTTAACCGAGTGTCAATAAACAGAACGCAACGCCAAAAAGCCTCCTACACTAGTAATTCGCCTCGGCTTCCTGCCGAGAAGCGTCTGGAACAAGCAGACCCGGATCGGGCCTCCTTGCCCCTAACCCCACCCTGCAAAATTTTCTGACGCCCCCCCGATGGCTTGGGGTCCATGAGAGAAACTTGGCTGCTTTTTACCTCCGTCTGGGACCCCGCCTGAAACCTCCCTGAGACCCCCTCTAAGACCTGCGACCTGCCTAGACTCCAACCTCTTCGAGCCCTGCAACCTTGCCCAGAAATCCTCTTTCCTCCTTTCCTGTCCTTGTGCCGGCCCGGCTGCTGAGGCGGCGCGCGCAAGCGTTTACAATTAGACCATACGACGTCATATGTGAGGCTCGCACCACGTCTTCGCCTCTGAGGAGCTCCTGGCCGGTCCACGGCCGCACGTGTGCTGGGTCCCCGCACGGGCCCTGAAGGCCGGCGGCGGCTGGAAGTCTTGCTGGGTGCGCTGCGTGCGCTGCGTGCGCTGCGTGCGCTGCGTGCGCTGGGTGCGCTGGGTGCGCTGCTTGCGCTGGGTGTGCTGCGTGCGCTGTGTGCGCTGCGTGCGCTGGGTGCGCTGGGTGCGCTGCGGCAGGAGGCAGAGGAGGCCCCAAGGCTGGGTCGCCGCACGGAGAGCCACACGGAGCGCCGCGCCTCGAAGGGTCTCTTGCTTGAAGGGGGTTTGTGAAGTGACGCTTGAGGGCTCTCTTGCTCTCACGCTCCTTCGGGGCTTTTGCTTCCCCGTAGTCCGTCGAACACTTGATACCGGTGTGGTTGAATGTCGGGTTGCCAACTCCCACTTCTGAGGGCGGCGCGAGGCGAGCAAACAGAAAACAACATGTGGCCCCAGGAAACTTCATGTTGGACCCGCTTTAGCGCGGGCCCTCTCTATAAAGACAAGCTTGGCGGGCTTTCAGGATCAGTCACGGGACTCTTTGGTGGGTCGAGCGGGGCCCGGCCCTCCATGCCTCTCTGCTCCTTTCGAATTCTCCAGATCTCTGAAGATCTTCTAAAGAGGGTGCACGTTCAGGAGTGTAGGGGTGAACATAGACACAACTAATGTCAATAACCGACCTGTTACAGATGAAGATGACAATGATTTGCCACCTTTAGAAACACCTGCTGAAATAGCAGGCGAGGAAGACAAAATAAGATGTTGAAACAAAAGTGCCAAACCAGAAAGCAGAAAGGAAGCAAAAAAAGGAAACAAATAGGTTGCAGGATGAGAAACTGAGAAACGTCGGAAGATGAGAACAAGGGCGGGTCGTCGTGTCAGTTCTCATCTTCTCTTCATCTTCTGAGTCACAGGCCCGGCTCCGCCGTCCTCCAGGCGCCTCTCAGCGGTTTTTTTTTTTGGGGGGGGGGCGCACGCCGGGTCTCAAAAAGAGAGGAGCTCTCAGCGAGCTAAGGAGAAGAAGAGCAGCGAGAGCCTCTGTGTGACATGCTGTGCCATGCTGTGACTCTGTGAGTCCCAGGCCTGCGTGCGTCTTGCCGCAAGGCCCGGGCATAGGTGTTGCCTGGCAAGCAAGCGACACGCTGAGACGAGACGCGAGTCCGCTAGAAACAGGCCTGGATCCACCACAGATCCGGGAGGGTACCCGCAAGCTGGCGCCAGCGGTCTCATCGGCGGTACTGGCCGTTCCAACGGTCTGTCGAGACCCGAAGACGAAGAATTGCCAAGGCCATTGCTGCAGCTCGCATTGCTAGGGAAGCTCGAAAGGTTCCTAGGGAGGTCCCGAGGGAAGTCAAACACGGCTTCTGTGTGAGGGGCCACCACTCCGCTCCCACCGCTCCCAGGGGCCGCCGAGGCTACTGGAGTTACCGGGGCTGTGGTGGCAGAGGCCAAAAAGGACCGGCTCAGCATATCCAGCTCCTGCGTAAGCAGGCGAAGCTCCTCAACTCCCGTCTTGGCTGCATGTCTCGCCTTTCCCGCAACCCCCTCCGCAGGAACCTCACGGCAGGACTCTTTGCGCTCTTCGCATGAGTCACGCAGGTCCCTTGTCTGGGGCGTTGAATGGCAACATGATTCACCAGAGGCAGGCGCACGGCTTTCCATGGGCACTTCTTTGGCTTCTTGAAGGGGCTCATCCACCAGGTCTTTCCCCAGCGACCGGTTCAGAGCACTGAGCTCCTGTCAAGAGTCTTCACACATATCTTCAAAAATCTCTGCACCTGCTGCATGCAAACAAAGCAAGTTGAAACAACTTTCAGCAACTGTGAGCAACTTGGTGCAAGCAAAAAAAGGAGCAGGCAAGTGGAACAAGCAGACAGGACAAGCAGACGGCAGAAGCCCACAATTCTAAGCAAAGTCACCCCAGCGAACCCGCAAGAAAATGCAGAGTGTTCGAGATCACGAACATCCCGGAATCTGTGCATGAACAACGGCTGAGGTGTGTCTCAGGTTGCTTTCTTTATATTTTATCAATACTTGGGATTACTTGGGGGGCTTATAGGAAGTGGCAACGTAAACGTTGATTTTTTTGCAAAGTGCCTTAAGCTGTGGCCGCCTGACTCTATTTGGGGTCGTTGGAGCTGTGCGCCTTTCGCCTGCTTCCTTCCGAGCCATGGAACTGAAGCCCGCAATAAATTCCTCTCACAATATCGGAGTGGACTGCGCAGAGGCGCAGAGTGACCACAAAGGTAATGAGGTTCAGGCCTGCATGATGCGCTCGAGGTCGCTGGGAGGGGCGGAGCGCTGCTTGGACTTGCACTCTGCTTGTAGGGAATCCGCAAGGGCCGAAGCCGGGTGCGGTCTTCGAGTCGGCCCTTGAAAGCCTTTCAGCATCTCCTTCGACAGTTCCATCTCGGGCGGCTCGGGCGGCTCGGGCTCGGGCGGCTCGAGGTCCCGCAGGAGCTGCGTCAGCACGCAGGCCACGTAGCCGTTGACTTCCGTGACGCTCAGGCCTGCAGATTGCAGATTTGAGGGAGCCCAAAACAAAAGCAGACGATTACATTCCCAACAAGATTAAATCAATTTCGCCGCAACGGGTGCTCCCTCACGCCGTGGCAGTTGATTTGACAACGATTCTGAGTCTGCTGCTGCTCGACTACCGAATCCCTACAGTACTGATCTGCGTCTTGATACCTTCTTCCAGCAATCTTTGCAAGGACTACTCATGCGGGAGAAGCACAATCCAGATTCCAGAATACATGTAGCGGTTCTATCATGCTAATGACTACCACTACTACTACTACTACTACTACTACTGCTACTACTACTCCTACTACTACTACTAGTACTACTACTACTACTACTACTACTACTACTACTACTACTACTACTACTACTACTACTATTACTACTTATTCTTAGTAGTACTAATACTCGCAATAGTACTACTAAGAATAATCGTAATGATAGTACATACAACTAATAATACAAATAGCAAAGAACAACACTAGCAACAACAACAACAAGAACAACAACAACAAGAACAGTAGTCATGATGCTTTTTCCTCCCATCAGGTTTCCAAGAGGTACTTTGCAAGCGAGCAAAGCTGGCCAGCAACTTGCAAATGGTTTTTTTGGCGCAGTGTTGGGCGACTTGCCAATTTGAAGAAGCATGTTTCGGCAGCGCAGAAGATCTTTGAGAGTGGAACTCCCAAAGCCACCATTACAGCAGCCGCGGTTAAGCTTGGTCTAGATGACAAGATTGCGAGTCGTCTGACCATTCGCAACCTTTCGACCACCATTGCAGTTGCTCAGTTCACGGCAGCCTGACTAGCCTACGAAGCCCTTTCGATGGCTGATCGTGATAGGCAGCGTTTGAAGCAGGACATTTGTGTTGTTGGACAAGCTTGCACCTTTTTCATACATCATTGTCCTGAGTTTCCAAAGCTCCATCTATGTGGGCGCAAGGATTGCTACATTTTTGCTTGTTGTTTTGTTTCTCCGATTCGTCTCAGCAATCTTGCGCAGAGCTACTCAGACGTAAGCTACGCGCACTCAATGTGCACCCTGCGATGTACACATGGCCACGCATTTTGAAGTCCAATGCCGTGTGCATCAAAACCAAGTCGATTGGCGCATCTTTTCAGCCGTTGAGAAACATCGGCAGCCTTCGACTATGATGTACGTAATGTTTGTACTGCATTAACAGCCCCCTCCGATTAGACCGGTCCACCCCCCGAAAATGCCCGCTCGTCCGATTTATCAACCCCCCCCCCCGATTAGACCGGACTAGCGAGCTGCCCTATGCGATTAGACCGGTCCTCTGCCCTCATGAGTTTTTTTGTTTGAGGACGATGATTCATTGTGCTTCTGATCCCCTAATGAACCCCTTGAACCCCACCCCTTTTCCTCCCCCAGATTTGACCGGACCTCTGGCCTCATGAGATGCTTTTTTTTTTGAGGATGTGAACCCCCAATGAAACCCTTGAACCCCGACCCTCCCCCCGGATTTGACCGGACCTCTGCCCTCATGAGTTTTTTTTGAGGATGTTAAGCCCCTGAACCTCAACCCTTCTGTGTTCGTACACTCCCATGTTACTGCGAGCTCATCTTTTGGTCAAGCTCATGGGCTCATCGACGCTCCAAGTTATGGAGGAGAACCTGCACATCAAGCTCCTCATCCTCATCGGATTCCGGAAGCCTCCAGCCATTCAATGTCCATGCATGGCCCTCAGCGTTACGCGGGATGATCCTCAGGATGTGGTCCCCATGGCGCGTCCATGAAAAATCTGATCAGGGCGAGACTAAACTGAGGGGTTCTCAAGGGAAAAGGCCCTAATTAGGCAATTACTTATTAATTTCTCCCCATGAACCCCTCCCCTTGAGGAACCTAGGAGAACGAAGTATTTGCCCATGCCCTACCTGCCATCTCGCTCATGAAGGCCCAGGAAGAAACCCATCTGGCGCATGAAGCTCACGGGCCACGGCGTGCGTCTCACGAAGCCCGCAAGAATTGCCAGCTCATCCGAACAGTGGCGAGGAGACATAAATCTCACCCAGCTATTCTCGAAGTTCTCATGGAATTCCTCGCAATTCTGATCGCTCATGAGAGTAACACGCCAGCCATTCAACGTCCACTCATCGCTGAACAAGCCCCCATCTTCCAGCACCAACTCCATGACGGTAAGCCCACGTAGGGGTATGTCCCGTAGGAAGCTGTGCAACATCATTGTTTCGTAACTTTATCTAGAGTGCACTCATGTGGGGTTCGTGCAGGCTCTGCCTTGAAGTCTTCACCTCTGAAAGATCGAGTGAGCAAAGGGAGGATTGCATGAGTGCGCGCGTGTGTGTGTGTGTGTGTGTGTGCGCAACCGCTGTTCCCAAGCGGCACGAACTCGAATGTTCCTGCTTTGGTTTCAATGACATTCTGTCGCTTTTCTCATGGATAGTTGGTTTTCATAGTTTTTTTCACTACACGAAAACACAAACAAACCGGGGGGGGGGGGGGGACGAGCCAAAACAGAGATGGGACTTGATGTGACCCCAACAGCAAGGGTCGGGACCATCGGAGTGACTTGGTGAGCTTCCAACACAGGACGTATCGACAGCAGGATTGTGACTTAGATGTGACTTGGCGTGCTTTTCAACAGCAGGAGGCGCGAGGTCCTTTGACACAGCTCGCGCCAACGAAGCTCTATGATGTCATCGGACAGGAAAACGTACCTGTGCATGCAGTACCTGGGCAATGTTGTTGCAGCTGGTATCCACTACAGTGCTTGTGACATCATGTACCCTCAAGACCCAAAAACCTTTCTTTTCAAGAAATTTCAATTCTGCACGCCTGGGATGGCCAGCACATTGGGACATCGGCGCCTTGGATTGCACAACTACGATGGGAGCATCTTAACAGCCACAGCCTTGGTTCCCATGAGCGGTTTCTTTTCAGTCAATTTAGTAAACATGTCCCCTCAGTGCAGCGATTGAGTACTGTGGGTGTGGGCTGGCGCCCTGGATACCACAGAATGGGCAGCTCATGGCCCTCGTGGCCCAAAACAATACCATACTGTCGTCAGTGTGTGCCCTTCGGGGGACCGGTGCTGGCCTCGGTGCCTCACTGTGATGCTTCCCACCATGAAAGTGATCGGGACGACAATTCGTTCAACAGTCTTCCGGTCGCTCACATCCAGTACTCAAGTCACTGAACTCCAACCCTCCCGCAAGTGCTTTGAATGCAATCGAAATATTCCATCTCGGTTTAGGAGAGGCCGCAAGGGGAAAGAGCGTCCATGTGAAAAACGCTCTTCGGACATAGCCGCGAATCTCTCGTGCCGCGCTAGGCCCTAAGGCCCTAAGGAACAACTTCTGTCCAGCAACGGGACCCAGCCAGCCGTACAGTACTGTGCCAAAAAAGGGAGTTGTCTTGTTGTGGCATGAGAAGTCAGATATGCGTCCGCTGATTTTTGACCGTCCACCTAAGTAACTATGAACGACTCCCGGTGTTTTGGCCAGGTGCATGGGATGAAACACGATGCAAGTTGCCACAAGTATCTTGGTGTGTGGGGGAGTATTGAGGGTCCAAATTAGGCGTGGGGAGGCGGCCTTGATGTTCTGGGGATGGTACTCCTGGTACTGACTGAGAATTGTGCGACTGCGAAGCGGTGGCAATGCAAAAAGAACCCGCGTGCGCCTTCCCTGCCAGCCACAGAGGCATAGACGGCGGAGACACGCTGCAAAGTGGCCGGCTGCCGGCAGCCCAAACGGTCGATGAGCCGCTGCGTGGCAGGTTGCAGCGCTGCAGTCGGGATAAAGCCATGACAACTTCCATCGTACGGGTTTAAGCCCAGTAGGGCCAGGGCGGTCGAGCCGTCGCCATCAAAGCCATTGAGCAGCGCTGACAGGGACTGGAGCCGCTCGTGCTCGGAGGGCACGCTGAAGCCCTCTAGGCCCTCTACCTCATCCGCCTCATAATCGCCGGTCTCTTCTAGCGAGCTGGCGCCACCCATGGCCCCAGAATCAAAAGCTACACATGCCGCAGCTGCACCGACACACTGGGTTGTTGAAACGTGTGCGGGATGCTGGGGAGTGTTCGGGGTTCTGCGGGTTCCTGGACATCTGTGTCTTTTGCTTACTGCTACTTGAGGTCACTGAGAAAACCCTTCACGACCTGCAAAGATCTGCAAAGGCTGCAGAAATGCCTTGTCTCGATTGCGGCCATGCGCGCATGCCGGGGGGGACTGCCCCGATAATTGAAGAGACGACTGTGTTGTATGCACGATGATGCACGCACGTCTACCGTCTGCTTGAGCTTCTTTTGGCCAGCAACTTCAACGTTGCTCCGTTCTGCTCTGCTCACGCCACTCGAAGAATCTCGGAGATCTTCGCTCAGGTTTGCGGAGGTCGGCACCCGAATGTGTCAAAATCACTAATCTCAAGCGGCGAATCTGGGCTCACTCTTCTTTCAGGCTGGGAAATGTGTCGAGAACTGCCAGCCGCGTCCTTGGGGGGGAAACAACGGGAAAATCAACCCTGCCATGGGCCACGAGCCGGATGCCAAAGGGATCGACTTCCTTTTCTGCATCTGTCAAGAGTCAGGAAGAGGAAGAAAGCGAGCACTGTAAGAAGTTCAGGAAGGAATAGGTAGTTCGCGTTGTTAAAGAGGGCGCGCTAAATGGAAGAGGATGACTTTTGTGGGACGACGGGAGGGCTGCCAGCCAAGGCCAAACCCAAACCAAAGCCATGAAAGCGCCCAGTATCCACAATCTGACAGGAAGAAGATTCTGAACAACAACCCAATCCAACAGAGCAAGCAAACGGTAGTGGTGCAGCAAACAAGCTTGAACAAACATTCTCCAAAAACATGCTCTATTGATCCATCAGTGCGTGGGCAATGCTACGAGTGTTGGCGGACACTGCCTATGACACGGCCTGATGCAATCACAGACAAGGGCTACAAGGGCTTCGGCTGGATGAACGTCGGCTTAACCGCCAGCACCTAAGCAAATGCAAGTGATTGCGAGCGCACACACTCAAGCAGCGACTTCGCTTCATTCCAAGTCAACGGCATAGACGCAGTATCCGAAGCAGTAGCCGTGGATCATGGAGAGGGCGTAGCGCATCGCCGTCCCACCGAAGCCACCTGCCACGCTGCAAGCTGCTGCAGCATCCCCGGCTTCCCCAACTGTACATCCAACTTGACAGTCTGGTGTCAAGTGGACAGCCACGTCCAAACGCCATACTGTCAAGAAAATTGCGGCAATGTTGCCAATAGAACTACTCAGACCCGGTGCGGATGTTCCATTATCCTTCTGCTTTCTTCTCTAAGCAACGCACAAGAGCGCACAAGTGTGCGCAGTTTGGATGAAGCTTGGCATGTGGCTCCCTGAAAGAACTCTCATCCCAGCAGCTTGGGAGCAGCAGCAGTTTGCAAAGGTCGATGATCACTGGAAAAGCCAAGGCTTCGAGAACCTTCGAGATATGAGCAGCCTTCTGCTAGACTGAACCTGAGATTGGAGCTTTCCAGAACAAGGTGACGCTTCGTTGTTAGTCTTAGGCCTAAGCACAGCTGCATGCTTCAACACGAATATGAAGTATGAAGTACAGCCTAGGACGCTGTGTAGGTTCGAATGAGCCTGTCTTCGAAGCGCAGGGCAGTTTCAGCAAGAGCTTGGACAGCAGGTGCTGCCCCGAATCTGCTGTGGGGAAGACTAGAAACAGAAGTTTTTTCCCACACAGTTAGCCACGTAGCACACATTATAGCATTGTTTGTCCACCCTTCTCTCAATTGTGGCCTCCTCCGGCAAAGCCCACCTTGGAGGCACCAACTCTGAGCGCCATCTGGCCTTTCAAAGCTTGTTGGGGACGTCTCACAAGAAGCTCTCGAAAGCATGTCTAAGGATACTTGGAATACAACAGAATCAGAATAGAGTCACATACTCACCATGCAGTGCCCCCCTCTCTTCATCTCTTCCTCTCTCTCTCTCTCTCTCTCTCTCTCTCAGCCTCTGACACCGCTCGAGTACAGAAAGGGAGAGAACACTGGTCCGGGAGCTCGAGCCGCTCTCTCGCAATTGCCACAGCTCCGGCATAAGCATGAATGTCGGGACGATCATGTCCGAACGCATGTCTCTCTTTCATCACTGGTTTTCGGGTCTCTTCTTTTTGAATTAAAGGATGCATATTCATGCAAAAACTGCCTTGGCGCACACTACCCGTGGCACGGCAGCTCTTTTCTTGTCGGAGAAAGCAGCCAAAGCAGCCAAAGCAGCGGGGGTCATTAACGGTCTCTTTCGAGGAGAGCTTGCCTGGAGCCAAGCGGAAAGATTCAGAAAAGCATCAGTTGAGAAAGACAGCTCATGACTCGGCTAAGTACCCCGCCGCTCCCCGGGGGAGAGGTCGGAACGCTCGGCCAGGAAGTCCGCCAGATCTGCGCGGCCCTCGATCACCTCCATCGCTTGCCGCCGCTTGCCAGGACTCTTCACAGGACTCTTGGTTTCTCGACTCGCAAAGTAAATCAAAGTACATCACTTCACAGGACTCTCGACACGCGAACTGAGCCTCCTCCAAGAGGGCCGCGCCTTGCTCCTCGCACCACTCGTTCACCAGCCCAAGCCGATCCTGCTAATTGCGCGCAATGGCGAACAATGGCGAGCTCCGAGTTGCAGCAGCAAAGAGTGCCCTCTCGTGGCCATCACGGACTGGCTCGTTCCTCCAGACAAAGGAGTAGCAGCCAGGTGCGAAGTCCTGCAGACACCAGAACAAGCAAGATTCGCATATCAGCGGATGCAGCCATCGTCCTGGAACTGCCTCCTTGGAGCAACGGCAGGTTCCATGTGTCTGTGTTTCCATGTACACAGTCTAGACATATCTGGGCAGGCATGCGCAGCGGGAGGGACCCGGGAGGGGGACAGAGGCAGGGATAGAGGCAGTCCCCCTCAGATGCAACTGAGCCCAGGACCGGGATGTCTTCGAAGATCCTTAAGGCTTAAGGCTTAAGGCTTATAAGGGAATTGGGTTCATCTCCGTGTACTGCAGCAGTGCCAAAGTAGATTCTTTCAAGCGTTTTGCAAGGAATCCCGTGCTGCAGTGCCTCCATGATCCATGCCTGTGTTCTGAGAATCTTCAGTGGCTTCGGTGGCTTCTTTGCTCTTTCGCAGTGTTTCGGCGGGCGGACCGTGTCCGCACAGAAGACTTTGCCAAAAGTTTGCTTTTGAGGGTCGTACGATGCTGTATGTTTCCACCTTTTCCGCCGAGGCGCTTTGCTTTGGTAAAGTCCGGGTTGCTCAAGGCATCCTCATCGCTGGTGTCCACCTTGAACTGCTTCTCCCCGGGCGCCTGTGAGATGCAGAGCATCACACGACTGAAGTCTGAGACCAAAGAAACACAAAACATCCCAAAACCACACGCAAACCGACGTCGCATCACGTAGTAGCTTCCTCGTCCTGCGGTGTTCTCTGTAGCGTTCTCTGCCGTGGCCGCGTTCTCTGTCCCGATGCGCTTGGAACTGTGTAAACGTCCGCTACATGACATTCGCCTCGGCTTCCTGCCGAGAAGCGTCTGGAACAGGCAAACCTGGATACGGTCTCCTTCCCCAAATTTCAGAATTTTGCGACCCCCCCGCTGTGTGGGACCCCCCTCCCCGAACGCTTGGAGCGGCTGCAAACCGATGCCGTGGAGGGTCCGGCTTGTCAGTGGCTCCTACAAAGCCCCCTCCCCCCTCCTCCACGAGACCCTTGGTCCAACCCCTCAAACCTTCATAAAACCTTCTGTTTGTTTTTTCCTTCCCCCAACCAACCCTTCCCACTCGGACGCCCTGTGCGACAGGACCTCCAGGCGTCATCTCCACATACTGCATGCTCTGGGCCGGCCCGGCTGCTGAGGCGGCGGGCGCAAGCGTTTACAATTTGAATAACAAATCAAAGATGTGACGCTATGTTTCTTGCAAACGGACGGATAGGTCGTTCGGCGCTCGCCGGATCAAGCACAAAAGCAACACCAGATGTATCTGGGTCGCGTCGACATATCATCCAGCGAGATCGGGTTCACAAGCGATGCTGACAACTTGAGATCAACTTTTGTTTGCATGCAGTGTGTGTGCCGGTCGCCACAATGTACTCAATGATGAACTATGTCAGAGCCTGATGTTGATTAGGCTCAAAAAGGACTGCTCACAGCACATTTTGACAGGGCAACGTGAGTGATGAGTGTAGATAGTCATAAGAAGCAAGTGCTTCTGGATCACCATCAGCAGCAATCCATTGTTCTTCGCTGCAATTCCTCTCATGTACTTCAGATCAGCATGGGGCCGCATGTTTCCACTCGTGCAACGTACAGCAACGTCGCCAATCACACATAGGGTAGCAACGCGTGCCATTTCTGGAATATTGCACGAAAACCTCGCCATGCTACAGAGCTGCACCGGCGGATTGTCTCTATAGTGGACCATTCCAATAGCCTTTCCGCTTTCCAGAGGGAGTGAGCTAGGGTTTGCTGATATGCACTGCTTGGCAAGTGCATACCCCTAGTTTTTCTTTTCAGGTCTTCACTTGAGCTGTTCAAAACCACTCTGAAACTTCTATCGTGACCTCTCGCGGCCTTTCCGGGCCTCTTCGCGTGCTCACACACACGCGCGCGTGCGCACGTGCGCGTGCCCGCGTCCGTGCATGCGTCTCTTGCAGGGGTTGCGCTCGCAAAAAGTCCTTTCTTCAGCACTACCTGCTATCTGACATGCCAAGCGGCGCTGACCCCTGTGGTTCCTTTGCTATCACGATGCAAAAGAATGAGTAATTAGCATCATATCTCACAGGGTGGTATGGTTTTCGCGTGGAGAGTACGAAAACGAGTGTAGGTGCGATGGACGCGAATAATGAACCCTGAATGAACCATCTTGACTGAAGAGGAGAGGACATGACTATCCAAACGGCATCCTGCAAAGTTTGCAAATGATTACAACATATTACAACTAAAATTTCCACAGCCGCTCTCGTGCTACTACTACTGCAAAGTTTCTCGTTTGCAAGGTTCAAAAGCGTCACTCATCAATGCGGTGGCATGACTTTCCGCTTCTTGTGATTCTTGTGATGCTGCGATGGTGCTGCGCTGAACCTCTGAATCTTGTCTTGCTACGTCTTAAGACTCACTCTCCTAGCGTCACCTAGCCCCCTCCCCTGTCCGCACCAGCTCGAAGCTCAAGGCTTTGCAGGGAACCAGCAGCTTGCCTTTCTCCTTCCGGAGACCGTGGTTGCCAACAGGAGAAAAAGCGAGCAAAAACGAAAGGGGTTCAGGGGGTTCAGGGAGAGGGTTCAGGGAGAGGGTTCAGGGAGAGGGTTCAGGGAGAGGTGACACTTTGAGAGCCAAACTAAAAGCTCTCTCGGCTCTCCGTGAAGCGAGCGCGGCAGCGGAGCGGCACCGCCTTTGCCCGGGCTCGGCCCGCCAGGAGGCGCAGGAGCCGCCTCGTCGCTGTTTTTTTCAAGCCCCCGCCTCCCCCCGTTACAGCGTTGCAACATGTTACTATGCACTTTCTCTCCCACATTGCGCAGTCACTCCCAGACGTAAAAGCAAGCTCTGAGCGAAGGGCTCCTCCGCAAGCGGGCCCTGGCATGCGGTGTCTTAGAGTCGGATACTTGCAGTATAAGTAGAGTCTTCGAGAGCAGAGAGCAAAGAGTTCTCAAAACTCCAAGCCTGGTCCAGACAGTCGTGTCCTGGCAAATCGAAGCAACAATCTCGAGAAGCTCTTCACGAATTGGGGCTTCCTGCTTGAACCCGAAACTATTTCTAGTTGCGGGTTCACTGCTACCCGGCGAGTACTCTCTCTCTCTCTCTAAAGTCTAAAGAAGGCGCCAAGCAGCCTTTTGGGCCGAACCTTCACAAAACTCCCGACACGGCAAAACAAGCAAAAGAAGCCAAAGCACATGTGCCCTGCCAAGAAGCCCGGCCTAGGCAGATCTGGATGTTGAGGCTCTCCTCCAAAGTCCAGATGGCTAGAGCGGAGCCGTTGGTCCCGACAAGGCCGGTGACACAGGCCTACTCAAGGAGCGCTTTTGAAAACTCGGTTTATGCCCCCTGTCTCTGTCCGGTTGCCCCATCTCACTCTCTCTTGTGCCTCTCGGCCCACAGGCGCCACGGCGCGAAACTCCGCGGCCGTGAACTCCGAGGCGTCGACCTCCTCCAGGAAGCCCGCCAGCTGCTCTTCGGAGAGATCCGAAACGTCGACGCCTTCATCCGACTTTTCCACTTGCCAGTTGGACAGGACGTTGAGGCCCTGCAGCTGGCGCAGGAGAATCTTCGTTGTGTGTTTAAATCCGCTCAGGACGCCCGCGCCCAAGCGGTCGAAACCAGCCGATCGGCCCAGATTCTGCTTCTGCCAGCGACTGGCCAAGGCAAAGGCGCGTGTCAAGCCATTAGAGGAGACGAAGTCGACTACCTGCTGATTCAGGCTTCTTACGTATTCTTGCCGTCTGGCAATCTGGCCCATCCCGCTCCCTGTCTCTTGTCTCATTGCCCGTCTCCATCTTCTCTCTCCCTTGCCTCCTTCCTTGCCTGGTCGCACAGCTTGTGAAATGCCCATCCCCCCCGCTCGCCTTGTAGGTCTGGAGATCCTCGTCGCCTTTCTGAAGAGTTCGGACCTCCTCCAAGTTGGTCAGCTGGTAGAAGGGCCACTGCGGGAAGGTCGGCGCCGTGCCCGTGAAGCGCCCCACGGTCGTCTCTTGCCGCACCGGTGTGAGCTCGGCGGTGTCTGCTTGCTCCCTGCAGCTGCAGAAGAAATGAGACAGAAAAGAAGCGAAAGACACGAAACATTCTCTTGCTTCTGAAACGTTCACAGGATAAGCGGAAACTCGCCGGCCACGAAAAGAAACCAGTCGAGACACCTCTTCGGGGGCCAGAGGGTGCTGGTGACGTTCATCGCGCCCACCTGGTTGGCCGCCTCCACCCGCAGCTCCGGGTCCTCAGCATCGAACTCGGACTGCAGCTCCAGCTTGGACTCTGGCTCCGACTCGCTCGATCCGGGCCCGCCGGCCACGGCCACCCGGGACGCGGTCGCCCTCCGCAGCCTTTGCCGCTTCAAGGGCTTCTGCCGTTTGCCAAAGCCGAAGGCACCCAAGGCGAGAGCGCCGAGTGCCGAGGGCGCCTCCTGCCGTGCGAGGGGGCATCCACCAAACAGCAGCAACAGGCAAACAAAAAGCAAATACCCAATAAGGCAAGAAGTCCGCTGTTCCTTCCCCCTCTCCTCGCATCGGCGCCGGCGCCACGAAGGCTCCGAGGGCGTCGCAGGCGTGGCAGGCACTGCCGGCATCGCCGGCACCAGCGGCATCACAGGCACGCGCGCCATTCGGGAAGCCATGCACGGCACCGAGGGCCCAATGTCCGCCATGGCTGCCCCTAGAGAAAATCCTCAGATCCTTAGGGCCGAGAGAGCAAAAAAAGCAATGCGATTACGTAGAGTGCTCGGTGCAAGCAGAGCTTCTCGACTCTTCAGTCTCTTCGTCTCTTCGATCTCTGAGCCAAAACCATCGAGTCCTGACTCTCCTTGACAGCTCAGAGAGAGGCGCCCACAAGGATCTCCCCACGACTCTTCTTGACGACTAAGTCTTCTCAGCTTTTGGAAGATCTGTTTAGCGAAACACGCTCCTTGGACTGGGTCCAATGGGTTCAAACACAAAAAAAGCGAGAGAGAGAGAGAGAGGGACAGTTTGGTTAGGAACTGGTTAGTATGGTTTTGCCATGGCATACTGCGGCATAATGGACTAAAGTACGGGCGATCTCGGAAAGGTTAAAGCGCTCAAGCTCCCGGAGCCGCTCCATGTGATCTCTTTGGCACGAGCCCGAGCCCGTGTCGAAGCCATCATACACGTCACTGGTCTCCTACTACAGGTCGCTGCACGAGCTCTGTGCTTTTTTTCTGCGCTTCAGCAGAGGGTCACACCAAGCCAGGGAGGTAGCTCCCGGCACAAACCTCTAGCTAAATCGCTGAGGGCAGCGGACGCCTTTAATGCATCTTCGCCCCGAAGCGGTGGCTGTTTTGAGGGCATCCGCAAACAAAACGCGCATTATCCATCGCATGCTGCGTCCTAGACATGTGGCAAACTTCTAAACGACTGTCACACTGTCAAAGACTCATGGCCGCGACTGTGACTGCTGCGAGCCAGAGTCGCTAACACCTCTGGCCCCCTCGATCAATCAGAGAACTCTCTTAGAGGTGCAAGAGGGAGCGAGGCAGGAGTAAGGCAGGAGTAAGGCAGGAGTAAGGCAGGAGCAAGGCAAGAGTTAGGAGTAAAGGAGTGAGGCAGGAAAGTCACAACGAAAAAAGTATAAAGCAACACACGGAGAGTCGGAACAGTAGAGAGGACAAGAGGAACAGAGGAAAAGAGCTGCAGAGACATGCCACGAACGTTCCGACGCCGTTGCACCCATGGGTCCATGGGTGCCAGCGCCGTTGGGCATTGCTTGAAAGCTCGAAAGGAAGATCCTTCAGAGAGAGGGTTCTCCGGTATGCCCGGACCTTGGGTGAAATTCTCTGCACGGCACGTCCTCGATTCTACATCCTTCCTCCTGTCCACGTTAAACTTCGGAAAGATGCAACTCTCAGGATCCAAAACTGAAGCCACCTGTTGCAAACATGGGGAAATGCAGCAAACAGTTCAACACAAGATTGCAACAACTCCTTGCAACTTACAAGATGTCAAAGATGCACGAAGGCGCTGAGCACGCACCTGTCGGCACCTGTGCGCCGAACTGGAACTGCTGGGGGTTCGAGACCTCAGCGATTTGGGACAGGTCCGAAGTAGTCAAAAGTATGAAGCGCTTGATCTGGAGTGCTTTACAGATTGCTGCAGACATCTGCAGACTGTGATCCGACA